GCAGCGATCATGGAAGAGAGAACACAGGCAGACAGCGCTGGAAGCTGCTAATGCTCATCAGTAAATCAGTGGAAAATAAATAGAAATCATGATTCTGTCTGAGCTATGCGTTTTAAAGCCAACACGCACTACTGTAAATGTAGCCTAACAGATGTGTAAACTGAAGACTATTTGAGCTTTATTAAAACTATTTGCACTGATTAATTGTGTTGGTTACATTTTGTTCCTTTGTGCAGTGGCTCAGGAAATGAGTCTTTGAGTTTGTATAAACATCAACAAGCTGAAAAATAAAACCAAAGGGTTTTTTTTTTTAGATAATGTAATCTTGTTAAAATTGATTTCATAAAATTGGTATTGAAAAAAGTATCGCTCAGAACAACAAGTATCGAAGTCAAGGTATCGGTATCGATATCGAACATTTTTGAATGATACCCAGCCCTAGTTATCAGGAAAAACTGCAAGTGAACGCACTGACGTGCAGAAGGTTAAAGAGGCTGCATTCAATTGGATGGATTTTTAAAAGACAAGGTTGTTGGAGGAGAGGGATTGAAAAATTAGTCTTGATGTACTTGACATCCTAGCAACACAAACTTTTTCTTTTGGAATAACATGCACTGATAAACAATTCTCAATAAGACCAATAACATGTAAGTCAATTCTGAGTTCATGCTGGCTTTCATACCTTGGTGCCGCTGTAGAAGTCATCCGCGGTGCTGGCGTTCATGAAGCTCTCGTTCAGGTGAACACTGGTGTCAATGCCACCCGGAAGCACCAGCTTTCCTGTGGCATCGATAACCTTGGCCCCACCTGGGATCATCAGCTCCTTTCCCACTTGCTGGATAATGCCGTTCTCGATGTACACATCTGCTTCTTGTGTGAAGTCATCGTTCACCACTTTACCTCCCTTTATGAGAATGCGTAACGTTGCCGAGCTGGAAGACATGGTTCAACCTAAAAAAAAAATCTAAATCAAAAGACAAAGAGTTGATGTGTATTATATAACCCTATAGGGTCGTTATAACTCATTCAGTAATTTTTCATATACTAATAATTAGGGATGTAACGATTCACTCAACTCACGATTCGATTCACAATTTTGATTTCATGATTCGATTCGATTCACGATTATTTTTTTTTACAAAATGAGATTTAAGACAAATTATAAATTAAATGTTTCCTTTTATTATTGCTTGGACAAAATACTGTAAGTTTCTTTGTGAAATTGAAATATAACACTATAATAATATACCAATATAGCACTTGTAAATTATTGCTCTTTTGTTGGTTTTGATTGCTTCTATTGTCCTCATTTGTTAGTCGTTTTGGATAAAAGCATTTGCTAAATAACCAAATTTAAATATCATGTAAATGTAAATAACAAAACTAAATTGAAATTTTAAAACAAGCCCCAAATCAAATAAATAAGTAACACAAATAAAAGAAATCTCTTCATATAAACAAACTAAGGCTTTGTCTGTGCTCTTTATCATTTTAATCATGATCCAAACAAGGATGCTGCATACATGCAGTTTTTAATAGGGGTGCTCCGATCAGGATTTTTGAGGCCGATCACCAATTGCAGAAAGCAGTATCTGCCGATACCGATCACCGATAGCGTGTCAATCCATGTTCATATTTACTGTAAAAAAATGCGCTGTTATTTTAATTCAGTGCTTGCAGTGCAGCAAAAATAGACTCGGTGTGGAAACTATCTCTGCACCACTCCTGGAGCGCACTGCCGGACAGCAACTGTGTGCAGTGTGCACGCTTTACTAATCTGTTAACATGAGCCCGGAAAAAATACGCACCACATTCGGACTGCAAATAGAGTAATGTGAACCTGGCATTATGTGTGTGCGCTGCGAGTGTGCATGAGCGCACGGTCTCCAGGAGAGCGTGCGAGCGCTGACTGGTTAAACACTGGCAAGAATTAAAAAATAATGCAATTTATAAACTTTAGTGCCGATGTGACACTGCCTCGATTGTGCAAGTGACAATCCCTGCGTCAACTGTGCAGCCTGCAGCTCGCTTATAGTGCAGACGCGATGTGGTGATTTGAAGACATTTGCGTATTTTGAGAGAGATTCACTCACGCTGTTTGTGAAATTAAGTTATTTAATGAAGAAATATGAAGGTGAGTACATACCTCACCTTCAGCATTATAATTATTTCACCCGTGCCGGACAGAGACTGAGACGGTGACGCTGCATGTCATGCCAAACCTTCTCACGGCAGCGTCATTAGCTTGAGATCGGTTTTTGAGATCGGCCTTTTTAGAGACCACCGATCAATCATCCCAAAGCGATTATCGGCTGATAGTGATCAATCGGAGCACCCCTAGTTTTTAATCTAAATTAGATTGTATAATTTCGAAATTTGAAGCAAAAACAGAATGGTTTGACTTCAGTTTTGTGAAACTATGCATAAAAAATATCTGCATGAAACAGAAACAGCAGAAGAGCTGAATGAGACGCAGATTCACTCTCTGTCAGCAGGTGACGCTTAAAAGTGTTTCCTTGGTTTCCGCTGTAAACAAAGCAGCGTTGCACTTATGAACTTTAATATGCATTATACAGAGGCAAGAGGAAAAGAAAAAATACCATCTAAACTTTTCTAAAGACAGTAAGTTCCCCTCAGACATACATTCATATAAACTCCTACCCCTAATTGAATTGCAATTTGTTTAGCATCTCAACCGATTTGAATCGTCACATATTTAAATCGATTTTCAACCGGCTCGTGGTTAATCGTTACATCCCTACTAATAATTAATACTTTTATTCAGCAAGGATGCATTAAACTGATTAATGAATTGATTACAGTAAAGTTTTTTTTTTCATTATTACAAAAGATTTATATTTCAAATAAATGTTGTTCTTTTGAACTTTCTATTCAGCAACGATTCCTAAAAAAAATGTATTATGGTTTCCACAAAAATATTAAGCAGCACAATTGCTTTCAACATGGACAATAATAAGAAATTAATCTTGAGCACCAATTCAGTATATTAGAATGGTTTCTGAAGGATCATGTGACACTGAAGAGTAATGATGCTGAAAATTCAGCTTGGCAATCACAGAAATAAATTACATTTTAAAATATATTCAATAGAAAACAGGTATTTTAATATGTCACAATATTACTGTCTTTCCTTTTTACTGTATTTTTATCAAATAAATGCAGCGTATTTATTCATTTTAAATATAGTTACTACAGAAATTACCAGAAATGTTCTACTATATTGAGATTTAGACTTGTGCCGGTATTCGGTAATGCGATATATCACGGTAATGAATATGCACGATATTGTTATCGTGGGCACTTCTAAATACCGTGAATAATTATATATTACAAATTATGCAGAATTTTGAATGCATTTTAAGAATACTTTTCCCATCAACTGGTCACAATGCACAACACCGCTGTATGCTGCGTGA